CCCCTTTTCTGGCCGAAGCCAGGGACTGGTGGGGGCTGAGCCCAGGGACCTCAGTAGTGGGAGTGCCCAGCCGTTGTCCCAAGGGGGCGCTGTGGGGCTGGCAGGGACTGGGCAGCGCTGAGCAAATGTGCTGTGGGGCCCAACGGAGGGGCTCGATGGTTGGATGTAGCAGGGGCAGCGCCCTCCCTCTGAGCCCTCACAGCTCTGGGCCCGGCCCCTGAGCGGGGGGGCTGTGGGGTCTGGGTCACAGCAGATCTGCCCTTCACCCTCCTGCCGCCCCAAGGCAGCGCCGGCCGCGCCCGACCCCGGCAGCCCTGACACTGGCGGGGGCAGCGCAGGGATTTACCTGGGGAGACGGAGACTGACACAGTGTGCCTGGGATCAAGCTGCAGAGCCCTCTCTACCCCGCAGAGGTAAGTGCCGGCGTCGGCCAGTGTCAGGTTCTCCACGGTCACAGTGAACACGCGCTGGGTGCGATTGTCTCGGATGGAGAATCGGTCTCAACTATGCGACCGTCGGAACAGTGCCACGTTGCTAGCCAAATTCCTTTCCGGCACCAGAACTTCGAATTCTCCTCGTAGCCCTTCTCATACCCGCACTCCACAGTCACCGACCCGCCCGGGCGGCCGCGCACTGACTCGGGGCCCGTCACTGCCCAGCAGCCTGCGAGAGACAGAGACAGTGAGACACGGGCACCCCTCCGGCTGCCAGCAGCAATGCCATGTCCCCAGTGCCCGGAGACGGTGGGATGCTTCAGTGTCTGGAAGGACAGGCAGGGGGTCAGTGGCTGCAGCATCTGGGTTTCCATGGTTACCCGTCAAAAAACCTTTCTTCTTAACCCTGTGCAATGGGAACGAGAGCAAGTGCCACTCTCCCCTGGGCCTGGCTGGGAGCAGATGAGGGGGTCAGGTGGCAGCAGGCGACGTGTGTGGGCTACTCTGCTCTCAGCAGTTTAATGAATCCATGTAAAAGAGGGGCCTCAAAAAGAGTCTTGATTCTCATTGGCACTCGTGCCTCTTTGCCCCATGCTTGCAGTGCAGAGGAGCTGAAAGGAGATAACAATTAGACAAAACTCAGTCTAAAAACACTTGTGTCATGTACTTGATCATGTTCCTGATAGCAAGGTTTCAGTAGGGTTTACAATAAACTGTCCCTTCCTATATGTACATGTTCATCGCCAGAGCTGGTCTCATAGTTTGATGTGAATAACATTTGTTGCAAATATTAGTCATTTTTCATCAATGAATCGTAATAAATATTGTTTTTCTTTAATTGACCATCTGTGGTAAAATTCTCCCTTTGAGTTTAAGTTTTCCTTACTTTATTTTTATAGATCACTGTGTCTGCAAATAAATGTGTCTGCTGACATGGATTCTGTACTGAAAGCTTTTCTATCTTGCACACTTTGAAAGTTCCATCTCCTGTGAGAATTACTTGGACCCATGGTCAGAGCATGCCTGAGACTTTCAAACTCTGTTGGTGAATCTGGCAAAGCTTGTACAGGCAGTCCCCGACTTACGTGGATCCGACTTACGTGGGATCCCTAGATACGAACGAGGTGAGGCAACTCCCGCACATGCGCAGCAGCATTCCCGGGGCTCGCTCACCTGGGTCCTAGGATCCTCCTCCTCCTCGGGCCGGCTCCGACTGGGGTCCC